GTCGTCGTCGTAGTAATAACAGTAGTCGTAGCCTTAGTAGTCGTCGTAGTAGTCGCAGTAGTGGGTAGTAGTAGTAGTAATAGTAGTAGTAGTAGTAGCAGTAGTAGTAGTAGTAGTACTAGTAGTAGTAGTAGTAGTAGTAGTAGTAGTAGTAGTAGTAGCAGTAGTAGTAGTAGTAGTAGTAGTAGTGGTAGTAGTGCTAGTGGTAGTGGTAGTGGTAGTGGTAGTGGTAGTGGCAGTAGTAGTAGTCGTAGTAGTAGTAGTAGTAGTAGTAGTAGTAGTAGTAGTAGTAGTAGTACTAGTAGTAGTCGTCGTAGTCGTAGTCGTAGTCGTAGCCGTAATAGTCGTAGTAGCCGTAGTAGTCGTAGTAGTCGTAGTCGTCGTAGTGTTCGTAGTAGTAGTAGCAGTAGGAGGTAGTAGTAGTAGTACTAGTACTAGTACTAGTAGTAGTCGTAGTAGTAGTAGCAGTAGTAGTAGTCGTAGTAGCAGTAGTAGTAGTAGTAGAAGTAGCAGTAGCAGTAGAGTAGTAGTAATAGTACTAGTAGTACTAGTAGTATTAGTAGAAGTGATAATGGTAGTAGTAGGAGTAGGAGTAGGAGTAAGAGTAGGAGTCAAACTAGCCAGCTCGAGCGAGTCAAGCATGGCATGCCCAGTCCCACCCGCCCTCCCACAACATAAAAAGCAAAACTGGCACAACTGGGGGCCGAAGTCACACCGGCCAGCCGGTTTGGTACAGCTGATGCGGCCGCGATGGCGGTTGCCGACGGGAACTGGCGAGCGCGTGTTGAATGCCGCGCACGCATTGCCAGACGAGTCGAGAATGGCCCGGTACACCGCAGGAAGCCAGAGGTGGCCGGAGGAAGCCCGACGGTCTGACAGGACACCCCAAAGCATTTTTGTGAAAAAGCATTGGGTTTTTGATGTTTTTATGTTGAAATGCTTGCAAACACACGGTGTTCGGTAGGATTCTGACATGAACGCGCGAGTGTGCTCTTTGTGGTATTTTTTGCACAGGATTCGCGGCCTGGGTGCATGACAGAGCATCGCGAGTGCACCGCGCGATGACGTGAAATCGCTGGATTTGACAGAATTCTTAAGATTCCTATGGTTTTCCTATGATTTCAGCAAGAGAGCCCGGGCGGGAAATTTGTACAATTTTTGTGAAAAAAGCATTGGGTTTTTGATGTTTTTATGTTGAAATGCTTGCAAACACACGGTGTTCGGTAGGATTCTGACATGAACGCGCGCGTGTGCTCTTCGTGGTATTTTTTGCAATGGATTATCGCCGTGGACGACAGGACGTCCATGTCGAGAGGAAAAAATAAGAAAAATGTTGATTTTGTATTGTTTTTTTACAGGTTAGGATGGGACCACCCGGATGCGGCCCCTAATGGCCGGCCTGAGGGGGGAGTAGGAGTATATTCTAATAAGGAATAAAGATAGGAGTCAAGCTAGCCAGCTCGAGCGAGTCAAGCATGGCATGCCCAGTCCCACCCGCCCTCCCACAACATAAGAAGCAAAGCTGGCACAACTGGGGGCCGAAGTCACACCGGCCAGCCGGTTTGGTACAGCTGATGCGGCCGCGATGGCGGTTGCCGACGGGAACTGGCGAGCGCGTGTTGAATGCCGCGCACGCATTGCCAGACGAGTCGAGAATGGCCCGGTACACCGCAGGAAGCCAGAGGTGGCCGGAGGAAGCCCGACGGTCTGACAGGACACCCCAAAGCATTTTTGTGAAAAAGCATTGGGTTTTTGATGTTTTTATGTTGAAATGCTTGCAAACACACGGTGTTCGGTAGGATTCTGACATGAACGCGCGAGTGTGCTCTTTGTGGTATTTTTTGCACAGGATTCGCGGCCTGGGTGCATGACAGAGCATCGCGAGTGCACCGCGCGATGACGTGAAATCGCTGGATTTGACAGAATTCTTAAGATTCCTATGGTTTTCCTATGATTTCAGCAAGAGAGCCCGGGCGGGAAATTTGTACAACTTTTGTCAAAAAGCATTGGGTGTTTGATGTTTTTATGTTGAAATGCTTGCAAACACACGGTGTTCGGTAGGATTCTGACATGAACGCGCGCGTGTGCTCTTCGTGGTATTTTTTGCAATGGATTATCGCCGTGGACGACAGGACGTCCATGTCGAGAGGAAAAAATAAGAAAAATGTTGATTTTGTATTGTTTTTTACAGGTTAGGATGGGACCACCCGGATGCGCCCGCTATCTGCCGGCCTGAGGGGGGAGTAGGAGTATATTCTAATAAGGAATGAGGATAGGAGTAGTTGTAGTTGTAGTTGTAGCTGTAGTTGTGTTAGTAGTGGTAGTAGTAGCAGTAGTAGTAGTAGTAGTAGTAGTAGTAGTAGTAGTAGTAACAGTAGTAGTAGTAGTAGTAGATGTTGTTGTGGTAATGGTAGTGGTAGTAGTAGTACTAGTCGTAATAGTAGTAGTAGTAATAGTAGTAGTAGTAGTAGTAGTAGTAATAGTAGTAGTAGTAGTAGTAGTAGTAATAGTAGTAGTAGTAGTAGTAGTAGTAGTAGTGGTAGTAGTGTCTATTGAGTGATGGTAGTAGTAGTTGTAAAAGTAGTAGTAGTAGTAGTAGTCGTCGTCGTCGTCGTCGTCGTCGTCGTCGTCGTCGTCGTCGTCGTCGTCGTCGTCGTCGTAGTAGTAGTAGTAGTAGTAGTAGGTGTAGTAGTAGTAGTAGTAGTAGTAGTAGTAGTAGTAGTAGTAGTAGTAGTGGTAGTGTTAGTGGTAATAGGAAGATAGTAGTAGCCGTAGTCGTAGCCGTAGTAGTCGTAGTAGTTGTAGTAGTCGTAGTAGTCGTAGTAGTCGTAGTAGTCGTAGTAGTCGTAGTAGTCGTAGTCGTAGTAAGAGTAGTAGTTATTATTATAGTAGTAGTAGTAGTAGTAGTAGTAGTAGTAGTAGTAGTAGTAGTAGTAGTAGAAGTAGTACTGGTAGTAGTAGTAGTAGTAGTAGTAGTAGTAGTAGTAATAGTAGTAGTAGTAGTAGTAATAGTAGTAGCAGTAGTAGTAGTAGTAGTAGTGGTCGTGGTAGTGGTAGTGGTAGTGGTAGTGGTAGTGGGAGTGGTAGTAGTAGTAGTAGTAGTAGTAGTAGTAGTAGTAGTAGTAGTAGTAGTAGTAGTAGTGGTAGTAGCAGTAGTAGTAGTAGTAGCAGTAGTCGTAGTAGTAGTAGTAGTAGTAGTAGTAGTAGTAGTAATAGTAGTAGTAGTAGTAGCAATTATAATAGTAGTAGTAGTGTATAGTGATAGTAGTGCTTTTATGTGCTGCACGCGTACAATTATTACGAGTACTAAGGTATTGGCACGTGTCTTATCAGATTGTCTTCGTCTACTATGATTGCTACATGATGGCCGCGAACCGAACCCAAAACCGAGAACCGGCCTCCGAACCGAACCGGCCGAACCGGACTGGTCCTCGACCCGAACCGGCCGAACAAGACCGCGCCAGCCTCTGACCCGAACCGGCCGGACCGAACCGGCCCGACGAACCGAACCAGCCGAACCGGACCGGCCGCGAGTTCGGCGACCTGACCCCCCCCCCTCAGGAGGAGCTGACCCCCCCTCACGAGGACTCCCGGGACCTGACCCCCCCTCAGGAGGACATGACCCCCCTCGGGAGGACCTGACCCCGCCTCGGGCTGGAGGAGGCGGGGGACCTGACCCCCCCTCAGGAGGACCTGGCCCCCCCTCGGGGCCGGAGGGATGAGACCTGACCCACCGTCAAGAGGACCCCCGGGACCTGACCCCCCCCCCTCAAAAGGACCTGACCCCCCCCTCGGGGCGGAGGAGGCAGGGGACCTGACCCCCCCTTGGGGGACCTGACCCCCCCTCGGAACGAGGACCTGACCCCCGCCTCGGGACGAGGACTTGGCCCCCCCCCCCCCTCGGGGGCGGGACCCCGTAGGGAGCGGGAGCGGTGCCCCACCCTCGTCCTCCTTCCCTCCTCCTTGCCCTTCCCTCCTCCCTGCCCCCTCCCTCCTCCCTGCCCCTCCCTCCCTCCTCTCCCCCCGCCGTCCCTCAGGAAGACCCCCGGGACGACCAGACCCCCCCCCAGGGAGACTCGGACGACCTGACCCCCATTCGAGGCTGGAGGGGTTGGGGGACCTGACCCCCCCGCAACACGGCGGGGATCGGAGGGGACCTGACCCCCCCTCACGACGCGGCGGCGGGGGACCTGACCCCCCGTCAGGACGCGGCGGGGGCGGGGGGGGGACCTGACCCCCCCTCAGGCCGCCGGGGCGGCGGGGGACCTGACCCCCCCTCAGGATGCCGGGGGCCGGGGACCTGACCCCCCCTCAGGACGCCGGCGGCGGGAGACCTGACCCCCCCTCAGGACCGACCCCCCCTCAGGATGACGGGGAACCTGACCCCCTCTCAGGACGCCGGGGATCGGAGGGCCGCTCCCGCTCCCTCGTCCCTGCCGCTTCCTCCGTTCCTGCTGCCCCCTCCCTCCCTCGTCCCTCCCTCCGTCGACCCGCCTCCCCCCCTCGTCCCTCCTTCCTCTCTCCTCCCTCTCTCCTCCCTCTCTCACACTCTGCCGCTCCCGCTCCCCACTCTGCCGCTCCCTCCGTTCCTGCTGCCCCGCCCCAGCAAGGCGCCACGGGCGCGTGCCAGCGCCCCCGCCGCCAACCGTCGTCGACGTTGTCGACATCGTCGACGCCGTCGCCTCCATCGCCGTCGTCGACGTCGACGTCGTCGACGTCGTCGTCGTCGTCGCCTCATGTCCAAGAGTTCGGGGGTGTCTTGGAACCGAACCGGCCGAACCGGAAACCCTCGGCCGAACCGAACCGACCGAACCTGATCGAACCGGCCGAACCGAGCGACCGAAAAGGACCGGCCGAACCGGACTGGCCAATATACTCGAACCGGACCGGACCGGATGGACCGAACCGGACGGCAATCTGAACCGGACCGGCCGAACCGACACGAAGGCGCGCCGAACATATTCATATTATTCGTCGAGCAAGAGCCAGCTGCCGCGGGCCTTCCTGAGCGGCACCGTCACCTGCCGCGACAGCATGACGAACTGCAGCACGGCCCCGAGCATGATCGCCAGCCCGATCCAGATGAGCGTGAGGTTGATCTCCTCGATGCGGCCCGTGATGGCTTCAACGTCCACCAGGTCCACGAGCAGCAGGCCCAGGCCAGCGGCGAGCGGGTCGTCGATGGGCTTCGCGACGACGGCGTAGCTCCCGATGTACTGCAGCACCTCCACTTGGCCCCAGTCGCAGTCGAGCTCGCCGTCGTCGCCAGCGGAGCAGTGTCTCTGTATGAAAACCTCGGCCACGGGCTGGATGGGTGTCATCACGGCCCCCGCCTCGTCGCCCCTGAACAGCGACCCTGCGAGCTCGTCCACGATCTTCTGGCTCTCCAGCGAGCTCGCGAGCAGCTCGCCCTGCCCAGTGAGGATGAAGATGACGGTGCTGCCGCGCGAGTCGGCCGCGACGCTTCGGAGTACGCTCTGCAGGTTTGCCTCGCCGAAGAGCTGTGTCTCGTCCTCCACCCTGATGGTCACGCGCCCCCAGGCACTGCGCGGGGCCCAGGAGGGGCCCGGCAGCCCAAAGAAGACGGCCTTGCGCACCAGCTTCTCCGCGGGACTCACCAGCGCCTTCCGCTGCCACCGCGGTCCCCGCAGCCCCGAGTCCGCGGCGCCGCCTCCCCAGGTCCCAGGCAGCCCATTGTCCGCCCACATGTACTCGCCGTTGGCGATGGAGGACCCCCCGATCGAGCAAGCCTGGTCTTCCAGAAAGTTGGCGATCCACATCAGCGGGTCGGCGAGGTATACGCTCGGCGGGATGTTGGGGTCGCCCGCGAGCGAGGCCGCGGTGATGCCCAGGTTGACCCCCGTGGACGCCCACGGGTTCGTGCTGTCGTCGGCTTCCTGCTGGGTGAGCCCGGTTGTAGCCGGGCTGATGTCTGCCAGGTACCCGTCGCCGAGGTAGATGGAGTCCACATTGCAGCTGGCGTCCGCCGACGCGGCCACGAGCGTGAGGTTGCGCGCCTGGGCCACGAGCACGTCCTGGATCGTGACCGACTGACGCAGAGCGGACCACTGTGTCTTGCCGAAGGCCGCGAGGAACTGCTGCGGCGCGGCCGCGCCGTCCTGCGCGAAGGAGATGTTGTAGAACTGGGAGGTCGACTGCGCCATCCTGGAGCCGAGCTGGAAGAAGGAGAGGACCTCCTTCGACACCTGCTCCACCTTGCTCTTCTGGCCATCCTCGCTGGTCTTCGTGAGGTCCCTCGAGATGATGTCCCAGGACAGCACACGGATGCCCACGATCGACCCCAGCACCAAGAAGCCCATGCTGAGGGACACCATGACCATCGCGGATTTCGCGTGCCTGCTGGCCGTTCGCTTCTTCAGGTCGCGCCGCCACTGGGTGGCGCTGTCCAAGGAGTTCGTGTATCGGAGCTTACTGTCCTGGAGGCCGCCCAAATGGGGTCCGAGCGGATGGGGTCAGAGGATAGCGCCGCATCGCCGATGCATCAGCGACGCATCGGTGATGCAGCGGCGACGTCGGCGTGGCGAAAGTCGGGACCCACGTCGGGCCGCATCGCCGACGCATCGTCGATGCGGCGCGATCCTCCGACCCCGTCTGCTCGGATCCCACCTGGGAGGCCCAGGTGTCCCTCGCCGCGTCCGAGGCGCTCCTAGAGCGCGTTCCTTTATTTTCGGCGATAATGGGCAGTGTAGGGGCGGGGCCAGCGGGGGGTATAATGTAACGCCTCCCCCCCGCCGTGCGCACGGCGGCAATGCCCAGAGCGCACTGGGGGGGAGGGGCGTTACCTTATGGGGGGGGAGGGGGTGCCAGGGGCTATGATGCGTAGGTCGGACGTGTCACCCTACAAGCGGATTTGGGACGAAACATAAAGAATAGTCCAACAATTCGCAAGCGTACGCAAACATAGTCCAGAGATCGTCCCCAGACTATGGTTTGACTAGTTTTGAAAATTCCTCCTGTAGAAGGACACGCCCGACTTAATGTAATGCCCATCGTGCCCCAAGCAATAAGGAAACGCGCTCCTGGTGGTGGGGCCGCGGACCTCAGCGACGCTCTCCTCGCAGAGCCCGCACGCGTCCTGCTGCGAGCACGCCCTGTCCGCCTCAGAGGGCGTGAGTGCCATGGCGGACATTGTGCCGCGGGAGCGTCCTGTTGGTGGGCCGTGATCTCACCGGGGGGGGGGGGGGGGCGAGCCGACGTCGCGCGCGCGGGAGCCTCCGAAGCCTTGGGCTGGATGGTCTGAGCCAAA